CTAAATCACTTCCTTTATATCCTATCGTGTAAGTGAAATAACTCAGGTGGGTTTTTTATGGTTTAGCCTTCACACAGCATAATTAGAGATCCATCTAGGTTTTGCTGCGCGTATAGAAATGGTTTCCTTTTGTTGCTGAGTAATATTCAATTGTATAAATATATTTTAATTTACTTTATCCATTCAGTTGTTGAGGGACATTTGGATTGTTTCCACTGTTAATGATTACAAACTAAACTGCTATGAATATTCATGTGCAAGTTTTTGTGTGGATATATGACTTCATTTCTCTTGGGTAAAAACCTAAGAGTAAAATGCTGAGTAATATGACAGGTGTGTGTCTAAGGTTTTAAGAAACTGTTGAACTTCCTAAAGTTAATGTTATAATTTTACCTGCCAAATAGCAATATATTATAATTCCAGTCACTCTACCTTATCACCAACACTTGGCTTGGTCAATCTTTTCCATTTTAGCCTTTTTAGAGGGTTTATATTGTTATCTCATTTTGGGCTTTGTCGTGTATGACTCAGCCCACTTTCATGCATTCTGGTTTCAGATCTTTCATTCAAAGCAAGTTAATTTATTCTGTGTTATATGCACGATTAACACATCATCACTTTCATATTTGTTCAAGTATGAGCTGTCAACTTGAAATACACTCTGCTCTCCATTCTGCATATTCTTTAAGAAATATACTTGAACTTGCTTTGCTTAGTCTCCTCTATCAGTCTAAAAAAAGAGCATGCATGGCCAGGTGCGGTGTCTCACGCCTGTAATCCCAGCACTTTGGGAGGCCGAGGCGGGAGGATCACAAGGTCAGGAGATCGAGACCATCCTGCCCAAAATTGGTGAAAACTCGTCTCTACTAAAAGTACAAAAACTTAGCCGGGAGTGGTGGTGCGTGCCTGTTGTCCCAGCTACTCGGGAGGCTGAGGCAGGAGAAGCGCTTGAAGCCAGAAAACGGAAGTTGCAGTGAGGCGGATTGCGCCACTGCACTCCAGCCTGGAGATAGAGCAAGACTCTGTCTCAAAAAAAAAAAAAAAAAAAAAAGAGCATGCACTTTCAAAAAATATAAAGTTATAAATTTATATGCACATAAATATATAAATTATATGCCTCAATATAAATTTTTGAAATATAATAAACATTTTAAGTGCTTTGTTAATCATCTTGACAACACAACATCTAACATATAAAGGGACAAGGAACAGTCACAGTGAGTTTCTGTGTTCACAACAGTGAATGTAAAGCTTATTTCAACTGTCTTCATGATACTTTCTAGATTTTTTGGTTTTGTCAAGTTTTGATCGGTTGTGATTACATTGACAGCATTTCTTCCTCTTAATGCCTCTGACAAAAAATGTATATACATGTGTCTTTGCAGGGAGGGTGAGAGGGATGGTCAACTCTGCCATTTTCTTGTTTTCTGGACTTGGTTTTATTATAGTGATCTCCACCCAGTATTTTTGTGTAGGACAATTTTAATGTTAACGATTCAAATGTGAACCTTATTTTAGATAAAAATAGATAATACAAATAAAGCATCTATTCATCTGAGCACATGTAAACCAAAATACATCACAAAGCAGGGAAAGCAAATTGGAACTTCCCTTCTTTTATCTTGCACCTTTACCTTGCAGGGATAACCAAACGAGACCCTACATGAGGACCAGGTGAGGGCGCCAGAGTCCACCCTATGTTAAACACTGCCTGGTAAAGCTTAGTGTACTATTTTTATGGCTCAGAATGCGCTCTATCCACATGAAGGTGAGCTGGAGAATATGTCTTCTGCTGTTGTTGGATGAAGTCATCTATATACGTCAATTATATCCAAGTGGATTGATGGTGCTGTTGAGTTCAAGTATGTCCTTACTGATTTTCTGCCTGCTGAATCTGCCCATTTCTGATAAAGAAACTCCAGCACCTTTATCTTTTCTGATATTAGAAAGATATAATAGAACTTGATGAAACCAAAAAATCTAGATGTAGAATTATGATTAGTAAATTTATCTATTTCTCCTTGAAATTCCATCGGTTTTGCCTCACATATTTTGTTTCTTTGTCAGGTGCAAACATATTAGATATTGTCAGGTTTTCTTGGCCCCTTTATCATTATATGATGCCCCTCTTTATCCCTAATAATTTTCCTTGATCTGAAGTCTGCTGTGCTTGAAATAAACACAGCTATGCCTGCTTTCTGTGACTAGTATTAGCATCATGTATCTTTGTCTACCCATTTACTTTATATATATATTGGCTATATTTAAAATGGGCTTATTGTATACAATATACAGTTGGGTCTTGTTTCTTAATTCACTCTGATGATCTGTTTCAATTGGTGCATTTAGATCATTGACACTCAAAATGATTGCTGATATGGTTGGTTTGTTACTGATTTCTATTTGTTGACTTTGTTCTCTTGTTCTCTGTTCCTATTTTTTTGTCTTTCATTCTTTTCCTGTCCTTTATTTATTTATTTTTGTTTTGTTTGTTTGTTTGTTTCTTTCTTTTTTTTTGAGATAGAGTCTCGCTCTGTTGCCGAGGCTGGAGTGCAATGGTGTGATCTTGGCTTACTACCACCTCTGCCTCCTAGGTTCAAGTGATTCTCCTGTCTCAGCCTCCTGAGTAGCTGGGATTAAAGGCACCTGCCATCATGCCTGGCTAATTTTTGTATTTTTGTGGAGACAGGATTTCACTACATTGGTCCGGCTGGTCTTGAACTCCTGACCTCAGGTGATCCTCCCACTTCAGCCTTCCAAAGTGCTGGGGATTATGGGCGTGAGCCACCATACCTGACCCTCTTATTATTTTAACTGAGCATTTTATATGATACAATTTTCTCTTCCTTAGTAGCATATAAATTGTACTTTTTTCCCACTTTTTCCATTGGTTGTCTCACATTTGCATATCTATTTGCAGCTAATCTAAGTCCTCTTTCAAATAGCCTATGCCACTTCATGAGTAGTGTAACTTATAATAACAAAACTATCCTAATTCCTCTGCTATTTTTATACAGAAATAAATATCCCCATGAACTGTCCTTTGCGACCTGATTCTGGATTCAATCTTTAAGCACTAGTAAAGCCATACACCTTTCCCTCACCCTTTTCTGATCATAGGAGCTGAGATTTCTCTCTTTTCAGTGATCCTGCGGTCTTGCATGATTTCTTAGTCATCGCTTCTCAGACATGCATGGGGTTTTCAGATTACAAAACACTGTCACATGCACTCCCCACCTGATTTTCACAATACCCCTCTCAGATATCAGGCTGTCAGTTATGCTCATTTTATACACACGGACACTGAAGGTCAGTCATGTGACTTAACTTGCTGGATCCAAGATCCCAGTTGGTAAGTAACAGAGTCTGGAAAAACTAGAATGTTGGCTTCCTAATAAGTAGATTTCATAAAACTCCACCACCTATTTCTATATGGATACACATTGGGTGCATAGCTCTTTCTCTTACACTTCTTTTAAATTCCAAAGGACGTGCACAATGGACGCATCCATCAGCATTTTAAAATTTAAATTACTTCAGCAACAAAATATATAGGTAGTTTAGGCTGTTTCACATCTGGAGGTTATTGTGATAGCCTCAGTAAATTTTTTTGTTTGCAATTAACAGTGTCTGGGATTGTTTATAATGGTAACTTAATCATCATAAGCAAACTGAAACAAAATTCTAGTAAGAAGAGGGCCAGTACTCACAAGGATGATACAAATTCCTAAGCATCGACAACCGATTGCTTAACTTACTGGGCCTGCTTCTCTCCTAAAAATAAAATTATAAGCTTTATCATATCTCTTCACCGGACAGGGTACTTTCTGGTGTCTAAGGAGATCAAATATTAATAACAACTCTTCTGGGAAATTTGGTTTTCTTTTTTCCTTACTCTTTTAGAGAAGAAGGAACACTCAAATAATAAATGCAAAACGTCTAATGGCAGAGAAGGGTGAACGCTGAGTTGTCAGGAAGAGGCTAGACAAAAACAGACAATACTGTCCTTTCAAATGACATGTTTCCAGTGAGTCTAAGCAACCAAGAAGACTTCTGGGGAGCCCCCAAAATAACAATAGAAGGGTTCAAATTGAAGATGTTTACCTACCTGAAGTTAAGAAAAAGGAAGAGATGTGGTTTCAGAATTTCCATAGTAGTTATAATAGGCTTTATTTTGTACTAAACACATCACTAAAAATGTAAACTGTAAACATATCTATTGTTCCCTTCTAACTGCAGCTGTTACATTGTGTGTTCCGGGGCTTCCCTTGCTCTTCTAACTCCCAAGTGCCGGGCATGGCTCTGTCTTAAAGTAGGCTGTCAGTCAGGTGCATGGTGATGTTGGCGGTGCTGGCTTGGGGTGAGTGATGAGGACAGTCCCATGCAGGCCATTTTTCAGGTAATACCTGTATCCCTAGGACTCCTTGTCTGAACACCATTGGAAGCAAAGTGAAGAGGTAATGGTCGGAGGAGAGAAATGGACTCGGGCAAGGCCCTGAGTTAGACACTCGACAGACTTTATGTCATTGAGGCAGCAACTCCGCAATGTAGAGATATCAGTGTCCCCATTTTACAGGAGAGCAAACAGGCTTAGGTGTGCTGACTTGCCGCACAGTTAAGTTTCTAGGACCAGAAGTCAGGTTTGTCGGATCCCCACGTCCCCTTTCGCTAGGATCAATGCCATACTCGGCTATAAACAGCCTAGGCTGTGAATACGCAAAGGCAAGGACCTCCGTGCCGCACGCGCTCAGCATCTGCGCCTTCCTCTGCGCTGGGCACGACTTAAGTCCCTGCACATGGGAACTCCACGCTTACCCAGAAGCAGCGAGAGTCTCCAGTGTGCAGAAGGATCCCAGACCCGCCGCCCTGCCTGGTCGCGCGCTCAGCCCACCCATCGCGCTGCCTTCGGACCCGGGCGCACAGCGCAGAGCGCGAGTTCCCTGTGGCGCCCCGGGTGCCTGGTCCGCCCGAGTGCCTCCCCACGCCCGCCCGCGTCTCACCCCAGGCCACCGGCAGCGCGAGCAGCACCACAACCGCCAGCGGGGTTCCTCTGCAGCAGAAGGGGAGACGGGGCGCCGGCGGCTCCACAGGCTCTGGGCTTCTCGGAGAAGAGGCACCCATCCTCTCCAAGCACATCTAGAAAGCAGATTTGATCTCGAAGAAAATTGAAATAGGAGAAGCTCAGCGAAAATAGGAGTGACCAATCGCTGTGCTCCGCGCCCAGAATATGGGGAGGACTGCGGGGTTCCGGGACAAAATGCTTTTGACCACAGCTTCCCCTTAATGGGCGAGGTCATGTTTACTCCCATTTGCATTGTTTCTAGCGAGTTTCGCTCGCAGAGCCCACCTTGCGGACCCAGGTGCGGCAGCAGAGCTGGACACTGCTTGGGCTTCCAACGGATCCCACGTGCGAGTCCCTGCGCTTCCAGACAAAGGCTGTGGATGACGGCAGCTGTTACATCGTGTAACAGCTCCAAACACCCTGCTTGACGTTTCCTCTTTGCAAGAATGTGTGTGGGACGGTCAGCTAATGAAATGCCTGCTCTCTCTCTGTGTCGAAGAAATTGCAGGCGATGTGTACCGTGTACAGGGAATGTGAAGAACTCATTTCCTTATCTTGAATTGAGATGTTACGCCATTGTAAGATTTTTTAGAGGGGAATGACAATCACATTTTAAACATATAAATCTGTGTATACTATGGAGACTAGATTAGGGCAATAATGGACAGGGGAGACTAGTCAGGGGACTTTTGCTGACATCCAAGTGAGGTTTGATGACAGCCCTGACTGAATTGATAAAGTGGACAATTAACAAAGATATTGGAGACGGAATGAATAGTCGCTCATGTGTTGGATTTTGGTTTCTTCCTTTCTTAAGGTTGGTGGTGAGAAGAAAGCAATCAAGAGTTAGCCCCTGGATTAGAAATGAATGGTGGTGCTGCTTATTGTAACAAGAAATATGGATGGAGGAGTGACAGATTTAGGGTGGAGGTTAAAATGAAGGATGCCTTTATTCCTCCTGTCTCTCTGTGTTCTGTTCCCTTTAACTAATCTTTCTCCATCTCCGATTGTCCCTCCCTTCCCCAGCCTCTAGTAGCCAGTATTCTACTCTCGACTTCCCTAAGATGACCTTTTTTGGATTCCACATATGATTGCTATCATACAAGATTTGCCTTTTTGTGCACATTGGTTTCCATTAGGCTTTTCCCCAAGATTCTATTGGAAGAAACGTCTACTTTGAATATCACTTATCACACTTTTTAATGCAACTAGTGCCATTCTCTTAGGGATTTGCTATCATCCTTTCAAGTTATTGTCAACAGATTAATGGGAGAAGAAGCCAGATTGTAGTAGGCTGAGGAAAAGAGAATAAGAGAAGGCTCAGTTGCCTAGTTTTACATCACATGCTATCAGAAGGTGTCAATCCTTACCAATTCTGCTGGTATCCATCTTCTAGTATCTACTCTCTCCCCTTATTCCTTGAAGGTTTTAGCTCCCAGCTCATGGTCACCTTCTCCACTATTACTCCTGCCACAGTTCCCGGTCATTTCAATATTCACAGCAATAGTATTTTCAAATCCCTGGCCTTCCAGTGCCTTGACCTCTTCTCTGTCTATGGTCTTGTCCTCCACTCTCCTCTGACACTAATGCTCATGTGCATGCTCTGAAACTTGTCACCTTCACTGCGACCCTCGATGATTTCAATGATCCCACTCTCTAACCACCAATCCTACTCTTGTCTTTTACCCCAGTGCCATTCAACTGAATCCAGTAATCTTTGTCTTTCCCAGTGTCTGCAGACCATTGATCCTAATGCTCTCTCTCCCAGCCTTTCATTCCCTTTGTGTCTTCAATTTCATCCCTGCCAGGTTAAATTCCATACTCTGTCATTATAATCACCATCTTACATCCACAGTCAGCTCCCTCACCCCTCTCTTGCTTTATTACAGGTATTAGACAAAACAATCCCGGTGAGAATAAATTCTCCATTATTTTGCTCCCTTACCCGTGAAACTGAATGTGGCTGGAGAAGACACATATCCACCATGACTAGCCTTACTTTAGTGACAAATAATTTCAAATGGACGATTATACTTCTGCCTGACATTCCCACTATTGTTTGTCTAATCCCATTTTTTCTCCCATTCTCCTAAATGACTATTGCATATTTTTATGTTGACATCTATTTCTGACACCCTCTCCAACATTCTTAATCTCTGTGAATAGCTTTGCTTCTTTTTTTTAATTAAGAAAATAGAAACAATCAAAGAGATCTACAATTTTCTACCATCACTCCACCCAAATTCTTGTATTTGGCCTATGTAAGCTCCTTCTCTCCTGTTAGTATATACTGTTTAAAGTCCTGTCTAAGGGTGATCTCTCCACTGTGCCCTAGATTCAATTTGCTCTCACTCACTCAAGGAAACCAGCAATTCTCACTTTCTCCAGGATTATCATACCCCTCTTTCTGCTAGATTTTACCATCAGCATGCAAACAAATTATTTCTCCAAGTACAGCAGGTATATTTTTCTCTTCAGTTTTCCCCTCCCATTTAATACTCCTTTTGCTTAGAATGCTCTTTGCGTAGGTATCTCTCTGCATGGGTACTACCTCTTCTCCTTGATTCTTTGGCTCAAATGAGACCTTCTTGAAGGAGCCTTCCTTGACCACTATTTAAAATTGCAATTACTTCAGAACTTCCTTGCCTTTTTGCATATTTTATATAGATGAAAAATTATACTTGTCATTTTTTCATTTTATTACCATCTGAAAATCTGCTTATTGCGTGTTTCTCCCACTAGAATAAAAGCTGCTTGAGGACATGTCAGTTCATCACTGCCAAATCTCATGACCTAAATCGATGCTTAACACAGAGAAGGGGTTCCATAATTACTTCTTGAATGAGTGACCACAATGGTTGAGACAGCTAAGGTCAACCAGTCTTTCAGAAAATTTGGTGGTGGAGAGACAGTTTAAAAGAGAAACATAGGTGGTTTTGGGGAAGATTTGTTTTTAGATGGAGGGGAAGGTGGATATCTGTTGCTCTAAATGGGTCCATTCTTCTGGGATTTGCCCCTAGATTTTTCCATTGGGAAATTCCCTCTTTCCTATAGTTCAATGTGATTCAGGAAGGCTATGGTTTCTCAACCTCAATATTATTGACATCCTGGACAGGATAATTCTTTGTTCTGGAGGTCTGTCTTGTGCCTTGGGGGATGTTTAGTGGTAACCCTGGCCCCTACCCACTAGAGCCCAGTAGCACTTCCCTTCTCCAGTTGTAGTAACCAAAAATGTCTCTAGACACTGCCAAATGTCATTGGGAGGGCAAAATCATCCCACCTGAGAACCACTGAGGTAGTCCAACCCTACCCCCGTCTCCAAGGCTGGGAGGCAACTCAGGCCTTGCCCTCTGTTTATTTCACTGTCCTACTCCTAGTTATTAGTTCCTTTGGGTACATGTGACCCTATTTGGACAATGAGAGCTACTGAAGGGACTTTTGAATGACTTATTGGACAAGAGACACTCTTTGCACTGGAATTCTAAGCTGATGGGATGTGCACTTGGTATTGTCAGCAAATATTTTGCCAATTTTCAGGGAGTTTCATCCAGAGAATGAAGCCAGCAAGGCAAAGAAGAAGAAGAAGATATTTCTGAAGGACTGCTTTGACTATTCCTGTTTCGACAAAAGCCTTTTCTGTCATGTGATATAGTAAAATTCATTTTGGTTTAAGCCAGTGTGAGATGGATTTCTATCATATGCAGCTCAGCAGGTCTTGGCTTCAGGATGTTTGTAGGTGGAACAAAGGAGCCAGGGATGAGAGAAGGTCTAAATGAAGGGACAGTTGTCATGGAAGAGACAGAAAGGGCTGAGAAGAGAAAGATATAGGCTGTAATGTGTGGAAGATGGAAATGAAGGTAAGGGTGAGTGGATGTAGATATAATGGAAGGTGTGGGGGAGAGGAAGTTGAGAGAATTACCCCCGGATGTTTTCATCATCCCCTAATGGAAGAAGGGATGACTGTAGAATAGATGGTTTGAGGTGAGTGAACAGACAACGTGGGGAAATGAAAGTGTTGCTGACTGTACATGAATAAAAGATGCTGGAGAGCATCCCACTTCTAAATACGGATCCAAAAGAATTGAAAACAATGTCTGAAAAGGTGTCTGCACACCCACGCTCATAGTAGCACTATTCACAATAGTAAAGAGGTGGAAACAAGCTGATACGGTTTGGATCTGTCCCCTCACCAAATCTCATTATGAATTGTAATCTTCAGCAGTGGAGAGGGGCCAGTGGGAGATAATTGGATCATGAAGGTGGATTTCTCACCAAAGGTTTAGCTTGGTACTGTATAGGGAGCGAGTTCTCACCGAATCTAGTAGTTTAAAAGTGTGTAGCACCTGCCCCATCTCTCTCTTCCTCTTGCTCCCACTGTATGAGATGCCTTGCTCCCCCTTTGCTTTCCTCCATGGTTGTGAGTTTCCAAAGGCCTCCCCAGAAGGTGGGCAGAAGTCAGCATCATGCTTCCTGTACAGATCCTGGAACCATAAGCCAATTAAAACTCTTTATATAAATTGCCCAGCCTCAGATGTTCCTTTACAGCAATGTGGGAAGAAACTAATACAGAACATTGGTACCCAGGAGTGAGTCATTGCTATAAAGATACCTGAAAATGTGGCAGCAACTTTGGAATTGGGTAACAGGCAAAGGCTGAAAAAATATGGAGGGCTCAGAAGAACGCTGTATTCCCATCCAAATCTCACGTCGAATTGTAATCCCCAGTTTTTGGAGGTGGAAACTGGTGGGAGGTGATTGGATCACAGGGGTGGATCCTTCATGAATGGTTTAGCACCATCACTTTGGTGCTGTTCTAGTGTGTGGCACCTCCCCTCTCCCTCCCTTGCTCCTGCTTCTGCCATCTAAAACATGCCTGGCTTCCCCCTTCACTTTCTGCCATAATTGTCAGTTTCCTGGGGGCCTCCCCAGAAGCTGGGCAGATGCTAATATCATGTTTCTTGTACAGCCTGTGGAATCATGAGCCAATTAAAACTTTTTTTTAAATAAATTACTCAGTCTCAGGTATTTCTATATTGCAATGTAAGAATAAACGAATACCTAACCCAATGTCTATTGACAGAAAAATGTATAAACAAAATGTATAAACAAAATTGCATGTATGCACAATGAACTATTAACCTTAAAAAAAAAAAGAAATTCTGACATATGCCACAATGTGAATGAACATTGAAGGTATTATGCTAAGTGAAATAAGTCAGTCA